CGCAGTACCCGAGTTTCCGTCAACCCTATGTTCTACTTGAACCCAAATTGTACTGATTTGTACACCATTTGCATATCACTTTAGTTTCGACAGAAGACTCGAACCCAACCCAGCTGAATCAAAGAGTTTTCAGCAACCTTATGAGTAGTTTCCTTTATGAAAATCTCCTTATTTCTTGTTCTTCTAAAAAGTGCAACTATGAGTAGTTTCCTTTATGAAAATCTCTTTATTTCTTGTTCTTCTAATGAAAAAAGTGCAACATAAATATATCCGGCCTGTAGCTCACTTTCGAATTTTTCATCTCTAGGTCTGGTTCCAGAATCGACGGATGAAGGAAAAACGTCAATCGCTCATGCTCCCAACCCTGGCCGGTAGGTAATTTCTCATTTATGGATATGAAAGTGAATCCCGTCTGTTGTTTTGGACGTGACTAAATTGTGGTCAGGTTGACCGTCTTCAGAAATCCCCGAGTAATGCACGCTTTCATACAACACTAAAAATCAGCAACACTGACTCCTGTTTTCATTTTCTTTCCGTTCCACCATGCGGCCTTCGTCTGAACTCAGAGTTACTGGGTCACAAAGCAGAATGCTATATACCTCTTTGACCCATTTTTTTCCGCGGCGAAATTGTCTCTTTAGTCAACTATTTATGTCTGGCAAACTTGACATTATTATGTGTAGCCTTAACATCCGTTCCTTACCTGAGAAAATAATGGTTTTGGATTCCGGAGTTTGAGACTAATATGCTTTCTTTGTGCTTGATTTCCTGCCATATGTTTATGACTTGTCGAAAGTTTCTTGGAATGGAAGACATAAAATAGTTTTACTTTGCATCGTTAACATCTACAGGACAGCCTTCGTGAATGCTTCTCATCCCGCAATGATCACTGCCGGAAACACTGAAAAGCTTGCTCGTGACACCCATATTAGCGGGTTACGCTGAGACAAACGTTTTAAGTATCCTGCGTGTTTTTCAAAAAGCAGGAAGTTACACAGTTTGCTAGACTATTAGCTAGTAACAACTTTTCCCGGGGTTCAAGAGACTGAATGAATTTGTGCTGTTTATCGCCTTTTCAAAAACGCATAACCATGAATTGTAGCACTTTTCGGACAAAGAATAACCATCCCAGGACGGTGGCATTACAAATCGCGCACACGCAAATGGTCTGCACAAACATTCACTACCAAGTGGGTTCTTTTCCGAGTTAAACTACACGAACAAAACTGTTTTGTTACATTCAGGATTAAGATGATTGTATTCATAAGTTGGTCATTATGTGAGGCACAGATATCTTTATGAGTCACACATCCTCCTGAGAAGACCTTCCCGTTTTTACTAATGCTCTATCATTTATGACCTCAGAAACAAACAAGCACAGCAATGTCTGTGTGCACATTGTTTTGTTAAAGTAGCCACCCATAGTAAGCATTCCAAAGGAGTATAGTGATATGAAAGTCAAGTGCCAGACGCCTTGGAATTCAACTGTTCTGTGTATGCAGATGAAAAATGTGATTGCCGGTAAACCACTCCACTAGATTAGCCACACGAAGGTCAACGAAGGTGGTCTACTCTAACTGAGGTGCTATCTATAAAACATCAGTCCTAAAAAAGTAGAATTCCCTAAGCTTCTGTAATGACGACTTGAAAGCTGTTTCACACAATATGACCTGGAACATGACAGCTTTTCACAAAGTTTAACTATCACTGTTCTTGTAAATAAGAAAAGTTTGGAATCGACTGAGAAGTCATCGTTTCAGAAGGGCTTGTCAAACTATCATTAGTTTACCGAACCCTTCTGAAACATCACTGTTCAACTCATATGTTCGTTGAAAATTCGTCGACCGCCCATGAACGGTTTCGCCCTTCTTAGGGCTCATCAGGTAGGCGTAGTCCCCGAGTTTCCGTCAACCTTATGTTCTACTTGAAACCAAATTGCACGAGATTAGCGAAATACACTCACTCAGTTAGAGTCGAATTTGACGTGAACTCTTGTTCATCAGTTGGTTTCTAGAACTCCGGGAAACAGTTGCAAGTTTCTTGCTTTAGCATCCGATATTTTACGCAAAATGTAGAAATTCAGAAAAGCTGTCATTTTTGACATTTGCCCGTAAATGGAAGCAATTAATGTCGCCTGCCAGATGTCGAATCAGTGTTATGGACACTCACACGAATGACTAATTTGCTTTCGCATGCGGAATCGGCCTTTTTCGCAGAGCAATGTTTGCTATTCATTGCTACCCTTATTGCGAACCAGCAATCAGGGTTTGTCATGGGAGAAGCAAAAGTGACGGACGGCAGTGAGGCAGGTGGTGGCTTAAAGAATTCGATATTAGTGACCAAACGATCTTCTGACCAGAGTTCGCAGCTTTGGATTTAATTGAGCAAAGTCACACTGAATGTATTGAGTGAGTAGAATACCATTCTCGCCAAAGTATTTTTTTTACTGTTATCGCAATTATCCTCGTCTATGTAATACTAAACTCTATGACAAGTGCTAGTAACTGGTTTGTCCTTCATGAAGGATGATCATCCATTAACATAACTTATCTGACAGGTTATCTTTATCCAAGGAAAGAGGCACCACTGGCGATCCTGCCAGCAAATATTTCTGATTTTCAGTGTGCCAGATTTAGACTACTTCGTTTAGCCTCATCAGAAAATGACCTGCTCAGTTATCCTGAATAGACAGTTCAGTTCCAATAGGAGATTTTTCATTGGTCTAGGGGCATTTTTCGGATAGCCAGTTATTGCTCATGGTTACCTCCAACATTGTCTTGTGGCGTAATGGGCTTTCGAACACCACTCTTCTCTTTTCCGGGTCATCTGAAACTGTTTCTTTGCCTTAGTTCTTCCCAAAAAGAATGTAGCTATCTGCTTTTAAAGTTGTCGATTCCACTTACCAATGAAATGCATCACGGTGCAAGCTTTCATCATTTACCTATATCTGTCGGCCACACAACTATCCAAAGTAATATAGACCGTTACCAAAGTGTTCCTTAAGCAGTTTCTCTTGGCATCACTTGATCTAATCAATACAGCCAAGAATAGGCGTATACTGGACACCAGCACTTCGATTTACCTCGTCCTCTGTACACCATGACAATGAATCCGGAGAGTTACTTAGTTAATAGTGGATGGAACGAATTCTCCTTTATAGTGACCTAATGGAGATGAGCCGCTTTTGTCCGAGCGGTTAAGACTTCATACGTGTAGCCGGGATCTAGTGAGGATGAGACCCTCAGGTGTGTCATGAGATACGTACTGTTTGATGATTTCTAATAGGGATAAACTAGCTGTAGAGTGCTTCAGCATAGATCGACTTTACTTACGGGATGAAATCTGTACGAAAATTCCCAAACCTCACACTACCAATACACTGATTTGTAGCCTATTCTGTTATCATTTACAATCGAAGGTTAGACGAACAAGCATCCATTTGGATGTTAAGATTTGACAGAGTTTTCCGGTCTCTTGCATAATTCATCATTTTAAGAATTTGCCGTGTACATTTTAAACCCAAAAGCAGTCAACGCTTAGGAGAGACAGGGGAAATTCAAGATCTGTTGATTCGTATATTTCGTCCGATGGTAATCGTACCTTCTTGTTTGACCGGATTCTTGGATTTAGCTGTCATTTTTCATCTTTGTATTTGCTTGATGTAATGAAGATATTTATTAAAAAAACTAATAGTGGCAAATATTTGTGCATATCACTTTTAGATCCCCACCTGAATGTAAAACGGACATTGTGCCGGTTGCATTTTTGCCACACGGCGGTGCCACATGATATCGTCTGAACCACAGCAGACAGTCTAATTAAAACCCTGTCGCTGTGTTTCCGTAGTTCAACATTAGTTATGCTAACCATTCGTTATTGGTACTGATACAATGAATAGTACTCATTGCTTGTCGTCACCTCTTCTCATATTATTTGCATTTCAGGCAAAGACCCATATCTCCGGGAAACCCTACTTCGCGTGACGCAAATGTACTATGCAACGCGATATGGAGTTCCGACCGACAATTCAAGTTCACCTGGGCCAGAAGGAATGCACACAACCAATTCTAGGTCACCCGAACCGAACTCCTATTTCACAGAAAATAAACCTACAAATATCCATACATCCAGTGACCTTTCAAACGGGGAGATCATTCAGCAACTGACTTCGGTGGTGGGCCGCACAAAGGCTGAAACCGAGAAAGCTACTGCAAATCATGCGGCAAAAAGTAGCACTGTAGTTTGGTGCAAGCTATCGGAACAGACTTCTTCTAGTTCATCGTTGACTCCACTCAGATCAAATCAACTTATACGCGAAAACAAGAGTGAGAACCTGGAGGCAAGCCATGATCACGCTCTTCAAAAGACCGAACACTTACTGAATAGGTTTTATTCATTGCCGACACCTGCTGCGAAGGAAGAAGCTCATACAACTACTGCACCCTTAAGGAGCATGGCCAAATATTTTTGTGGGCCCCGATGGACGGATCAGTATTCACCAGTCCATATCTTTTCCCCTACCAACAGACAGTCCCGCACAGATGAGAATGCTTCACATTTGAATTCATTGTCCACGGAATCTGCATCGGACCGGGGTGTACCACCTCTTCATAACAGTGTTCACTCAAAAATTATGGACTCAGCCCCCGAAGATCGGTGTACTTGACGGAATGTCACTGAGACGAACCTACCAGATAAATAAAATTTGATTCCAAATCTTGATTGATGTTTATCCTTGAATCAAGCCACACAAATCTGAATTCAGTTAGCCGTGGTCGCAGTAACATAAGCTTACATTTGCTTCTATTTTGTAGCTTTGGTTGGGGCGATGCGCAGTGACGTTGGATAGGATAACATCCCATTGAAGTGAAGGCTTCATAAAATAATTCATCGCATAGTTACTGATCCCAGGTTGTTGATTGGCCAGATCCTTGCTAGTGAACAAAGCAAACTAAACCTATTCGGAATTGATGGAGGTAGAACTAACAATACCAAACAGGTTAAAAGTGAAAGCCAAGACATGTGATGTCATTTTAAATTGGCAGTTTCTAACTAAACCATTTATCGCATTACTCAATGACATTTTACGAACCTGAATATTTTCCCTTATGTGCAGGGTAATATAAGGGGAATTCTCTTAGCCGATGGACCAACAGTACAAAGTTCACTGACTAAAATCTGTTATTGGCTGCGTCAACAAAAGTAAGCGAAAATATAATGTAAAAATCACATAAACAAAAACTCGTGAACATTTGTGGTTATGGTCCACTACGTGTTTTCACTTGCTTTTTCTCATATATTAGACGCGCGGTTGATCTACACTTAAAGGTAAGAAGCACACGTCGGACTTTATTTTCTGCCTTGACTGATTTGCAAATGGGGTTGTTCACTGAGTACTACTCCACAATCTGAGGAGTGCCAACCGCTAGGATCGCCAAACCTGGCGTTGTCCCCCATAAAGATGAGTTGAGGTTAGAGAATGAGGACCTTGATAGCTCAAAATACATCCTTAAATTTGTAAATGTGTGGATGGATGTGTCGGCGTTCTGTTTCTTTTCACGATAGATTACTACTCTCTGGCTGGTTAAGTAGACGAACCGTTATACCAGTACCTCGGATATTACAACGTTGATCTTAATAGCCGGGTGTACTTTGTTCAGAGAAGTGTCCAAATTTCCACTCTATACGTAAAAAGTAAAGCAAGTTTTGAGGGTGCAGTATGCTTGTCGCACAAACCACGACAGACTGCATTCATGCTCATTGACAGTTTAGAACACTTGCCAGATTATGTCCTCTCTATCGAGCAAAAAGACCTCAGTAATTTCCACCAATTACTGGCTATTTTGTCGATTGCCCGGGCGGTGTGATTTGTTTCACAAGCCACACCTTTTGCCCGGAACTGTTACTCTTGGAGATTAACAGTGGCATACATTTTCCTCCGGCTTCTCTGTAACAATGGGTAAGATGGGGCAAAGCCTCACTTCTTGATTTACTTTCACCTGCACTCTTCGCAACACCTAAAACTGTAGTTTTAACGAGACTGCCCCTTCAAAATGTCTAACCACCGAAATGTCTTCCAAGAATTACTTTCCTGCAGACATGGTTCCATCTTTCCATGATAAATTGACTGTCTGGGACAAACTGACTAGTTATGCTCGTCAGGTTAAGTGGACTGAAGAAATGTCACTTCGCACTCAGCTAATAGCGACCCGTATCTAACCAACACACTTTCAGAATCGCTATGATAGAAAACTTTTCTGATAAGGTTGCCTGATTACAAGTGATTGGCTGGGTCACTGGATTCGTCGGCCGTTCGAAAACCCATATTATTAAACATGTCCTAACCCTCTGACATGCACTGGTCTCGGTAACATACGGCAACCAACAACAACAACTAAAAGTGACAATCTCCTGAAGTTTAGACGGATCTGGTAAATCTATGATAACGATCATAACGACGACAGATATCAAAACTTTCCTTGATGGCAGAGCTCACCTGCGCAGACAGAATTTTCGCACCATATTAACTATCGGCTTTCGGATTTCATTTTATAATGTTTTCTGTTTCCCGGCAATGGTACCTACAGGCTTTTACTGTGAACAAGGTAATTTTTCTTATCCGGGAATCTTACCATTGAAGGTGTTTCTTCTCTATGGAGAAACTCTTTCTTATTCCGGGTTTTCATACATGGTGTCAAAACTGCGTTGCAAAGCAGACGTAGTACCAAGAGTAAACTCCCTTTCACTGTTTAGTCGGTTTGTGTTTTCTAAACATTACAATTATATTACACCAGTTTTTACGTGAAATTCATGGCCCTAGCAGACGCACCTGCGCTTGACTTGAGTGAACGTATACAGGACGGTATGTACAGTGAAGTTCAGAGTGGGCAACAGGACCGGATGTTTATTCTAGAGTGTTTCAAAACAAAATCCAATTCGCATGAGTACGAATAGCACTGAGAACGGTGTGGTTTATCACACAGGTCGCATCAGTTCGCTAATCAATGTCAGTCCACATTCTATGTGCATATATTCCAATGTTTTGCCCTGTCGATGTATTGACGATCAACCACTCCCTCACTCCCAACCCCCGAATGGCGCCGTGGATCACTGTTACAACAAGAGCGATAGTAGCGTGTATCAATAAGAATCACTCGATTTTGGAATAGAGAATATCCACACGTAAAAGCAGTCTGAGAACGAAAACATCATTTCAAGGAGGACCGTTCACAGTATTGTCAAAAAGTCCTCATTTTCACAACATTATAAGATGTGCGTGCTTTTATCTGCTAAATATTGTCGTACACACGCATGAGGTCAGAACGCGTGACGAAAAATGAAAATGCAGATACTCGATGATGTTCAGGACAGGTGAATAACTGCTGTTGGCAACCGCTTCTGCATGATCGCCTTCCATATCACGACGCGGTGTCCAATCTAGGCTCAGCTTGGTCGAATAGCAGCACACACCGATACAATCAACTTTTTATTGTTATAAATAGTACTGTTATTAGTTCCGTGCCGTCAGTCATCTGAATCGATGTTGCACGAGTCACAGATTCGTGTGCTGCGCATCCTACAGCCATTTTACGACGGCCTAATCATCTGATACTTCTTAGACGTGATTACATAACATCAACCGTGCTAAGCGAAGTTTGATGTTTCAACTTTACCTAATGACAAATGGGTTCACGATACACTGTCCGGGGTCTGATGTGGATGTTGACCATACACAATGCTTCATTCATATTGGATATCACCGATTTAACATAACCAACTGCTGATCAAAGCCGCTTGGATCCGTGAACACAGAAGTCGCCATTTTGATGGTTTCTTGCATTATATCTAATGCCATAGGAAATCCAAGCAGCCGGCTGTCCAATAGGTCAACGGTCGTCCCTAACGTTGCTGAGTCGTCCTTCGTCGGAAAGATGTATATCGCTTTGACTGATTCGGATATGTGGCGATAACGTGCTAAAAACACTGTGTGCATCACACTCCTCAAGCTGTATTATGTATGACTTATGACGTGTACTGAAGCCTAGTACATGTAGTAATGTTAATTGTGACAGGACACCCCTCAAGTCCGGCTAAATCCGTAGGAAAAACGCGCCTTTCCTATGTTTGCCCTCCCACAGATAAATGAATAGATAGAAACAGCCACAGATTATCAGGGTTTGGCGTGAGTTGCTCGTCCGAGAGTTGCTAGTGTGCAAACAGAAAGGACAATCCTACACAGATTTTCAAGATGTCCGGCCAAGAACATGATTTTGATTGACTATGTTAGAAAAAGTTTTGCATCGCGGGTGGGAAACGGTCGCCGAAACAGTCTTTGTTTTAGCATGAATAAACAAGTCATAAGCCCGAGTAAACAGGTCGGCGGACAGGTGAATCGAAATATCTCAGATCCAGAAGCGCAATCGATGCAGTCATCTTGCGCAGTGAGCCCACAAGAACGCTATCCTGCTGTTCCAAAGCAAGGTCGGACAACTTACAAAGAGAGCCGTCACGTGTGAACAAATGTCGGTGGACCACCCATCCATGGTATCTAAAGAGGGAATAGCGTGATGTTTGCGAGAAAAGATCATGAATAAGCATTCAGGTCGTCCGCAGAATCGAAAAAACTTATCACAACAGATTATCGGGTTGAATTACTCCCACTTTTGTTGAAGTTCGACTCATTTAAAAGCTTGTCAGATATGACAGCAGTCCACCTTCTTGGCTTCTTACTAAAAACTGTCATTTTGTGGTAGAAAAATATTGTTTACCTTTACACTGACCACCACTGTGAATAAATTCCTAGAAATGTGCAAAAAGTTCCAAGGAAGTTTCACTCCTTTGTGTGCATTGCAACGCAAACCAGCCACCAGTTGATCCAGTCTGGTGGGGACAGTCAGATGAAACATGGATTTTTCTATACTAAATGTGATGGCTGACATGTTGGATATGGTGAATGGAAATTTCCCATTCGGTTCAGAGAAGATCGGTAAATCCCACCGATTGTTTATCAAACGATTGTTTATCTGAAACGATGATTACCTAATAGGTCGCAAGTATTTTCCATGTGATTGGAAATGCCCGATATTCCGACCAATACAATAGAACGAGTGACTGGCGTGAGAACATTTTCAATGCTGTTAGCCAAAGACCAGCCAGTTAATTGACATGTGTACACTGGTGTTAGAGCTGTGTTTTTACCACTATGTGTGCCCACGTTTTAGACTGCCTTGTAACGTCACGTAGTGCCCGCGTTGCCTTGGTAAGATGAACTGGGCCCGACCAAATGCCAGATAACTCATAATTATCAGGCGTGTTAACGCAAGAAGCTGCCGTGCGAGTAAACACTTATCAGACAAGATGCCTCTACGCAAACACGTTCAAATTTTCCTCCAAGATATGTATGTTATCCCCTATGACCCAATAGACCTATGCTAATGCATAGAGTGTGATAGCTGATTTATGCTCAGTTTGTTTATTTTACCGATGTTTCTTGATAAAGGCTACTTGCTGCTCCAAACGCCGAACAGTCTTCCTCAACATCAACACTGTACATGGACCGAAAATCAACAGCGCATAAAATGTTCGAATTCCGTAAAATCCCGTTCTGGACGATCTATCAAAACCAAATGGACTGGTAACCCTCCTTGATGGAAAGACACAGGACG